CTTGTACTGTTGGTTTTCCTCTCGACAGTAATTCCCGCAAATCAGGAACTGGGGAGGAAACTTTCCCCGGGCTTGGAGGTGGAGATGGAACCCCCTGCCCTTGGGTGGGTGAGATTGGTTCTTGTCGAACGTGGATTTTGAAGCCACGCTGACTTTTCTGAACCTGGCGGACCTCTTGAAGATCGCGTTCCTGAGAAATAACGCGAGGGTCGCGTTCTTGGAGAATAACGCAAGGGTCGCGTTGAGATTTGTAAACATTAGGCCGAGGCCTACGTTTAAATGAGGAAACAGACCTCTGAGGGTCATGTTTTGATTGAACGCGCCCCTGAGGGTCGCGTTTAGGTTGAACGCGCCCCTGAGGGTCGTGTTTAATTGGTGAAACAGACTCCTGAGAGTCATGTTCTATTGGAACGCGCACCTGAGGGTCGCGTTTGGTTTTGGCAGCTTCCCTCTGAGGGCTGCGTTTGGAGGGAACAACGCGCTATTCAGGGTCGCGTTTTAGCTGTATAAGCCGAGGCTCATAGTTGGGCTCGTTCCCACGAAGTGATCGTTCTTCTTTGGGAACGCTAGGCTCGGTTGGATTTTCAGAAACGCAGTCTTCGCGTTAGGCCAACATTCGGCTTTCACGTAGATGGGCTCGTCGTATGGATCTTCTCCGTCGGCGAGCGGCGTTCTTTTTGGCTTGTTTCAAAGCCTTAGCAGCAACGTTGTTGACGTTTACAGGGCTCGTCTCTTCCAGAGGCCGTTTGTGGCCCGAAGCATGCTTTGCTGACACGGAGGTGGGATCTTCAGCCAGCAGAGAAAGAAAATTGACTTGTATTTCTTTGATTCCGATTACAACTTGATTACAAAAGAGAAGAGAACGAGTTTGATTCTCTCCTTTGTTTAAAACTGGGTTCTTCTCGGTAGCGATGGAATGTCTCCTTCGATTGCTCGCGTCGAATTTGCTCTCCGTTGACGATCCGACCGTCTTTTTTTTCTCGTGGGAACGATGAACTTCTTTGGAAAGTTTTATAAGTAACTCTTCAACGAGTTTAAGAACTCTGAACGAGTTAGAACTCTGTTAATAGAGTTGTTAGAACCGAAAATTCGGTTAATGACCAAGCTGATATTCTGTTGTTGAAGAATCTTCTCAGATTTGATCTTCTGACTTGATTCAAAAATCCTATCTCCAGGGATTTTAATGCTGCTGCTGTTGAATCACCGAACCAAGTGGTTGAGATCCTCAGAATCCAACCTATTGCCCCCTCTTCCGTTCCAAAAAGCCAGCCCCCCACTCAGTTGAGTTTGTTGAGTTTTTATAGGGGGATAAGAGGTTGTAACTGCCCTCTAAATCCGCTCCTAAGTGGACGAAAATCCCTCAGAACATGGGATAACGATTTTGAGGCCGTTCGGCTTGTGTTTGAACAAGTCAAAACGCCCAATCTGGCGTTCAGAACCCAACTTCGCCTCTTAGAATTAAGACACGAGGTTGGGTGTTGGCTGAACATCATGGAACGCGAGGGTCGCTCGCGTTTTGGTTTGTTGTAGCTTGGAAACGCGGGGGTCGGTATTGGCTGGACCCCTACGAACGCGAGGGTCACTCACGTTTGGCCTGTGGCTTAAAAAAAACGTGGGGGTCGGTGTTGGTTGAACCCCTACGAACGTGCGGGTGGCTTGGAAACACGGGGGTCGCCTGCATTTCCAGAATTGTAACACGGGGATGACATCTGCGTTTCAGAAGGAGCTTTTTGACTTGTAACTTCTTCTGTGAAGCGTTGCGAGGACCGTTGTTCAGTAATCCTAGCTTTAGCTGTTGTGGGGTGTGAAAGTCGTCAGATTGTAACTTTCACTGTAGATTGTGAAGACTGCTGAATAGAGTTTTCATCAGTTGTCGGAAGTGTCGTTGAATTGTAACTCTTCTCGATCTATGTGAAAAGTCCTCTATTTGCCGCTTTCGATTGTCGACCCGAAAGCTATTTGATTGTAGCTTTCGTTGTGGGAGCTTGACGGGAATCAACATCCATAGTGTTTTTAGATGAATATTTGCCCACAGCTCTCTACCAAGCAACTCACCAACTACGTCCAACCTTTTATTTCTGAAATCATTGCACTGTTCATCAGCATCTCTAACAGTTGCTAATATAATATTAGTCATGTTGTTGTCGCAACCATCAAGATCAATCATCTCAGAAATGAGGCCGTGTTTGTAGCGATTGTAGGATTGCGAATACAGTGATTAGACAGCCATCTGATTGTGACTTTCATCGTAGGAGCTTGATAGGGATCAGCTATCCATTGTGATTTTTAGACAGCCTACAGAGTGTAGTATGGTAATTTGAATGAATTTTGAAGAACATTTTGGGAAATTAAAAGTTTTGACACCCATATCCTCTTTTATAAGTAGTAAGTATAGATATAGATATAGATAAGTAGTATAGATATAGATATAGATATAGATAGATAGATATAGATATATATATATATATAAAAACTATCTAAAAATATTAAGACTTGTGTATTAAAATTTTATTAACGGTTTAAATAAACTTTAGGTTGTAGAATGGCATAAATTTTTAATTTCATTTTTTATATCTTTTTATTAATAATTATAGTATAACACCTTGATGGAGACTTACTATTAAATTGGTTTTTTCTTTTTTCCAACAAAATACTACTTATTGTCAAAAGAAATACTCTAAGGCTTCTAAGTGAAAAAGCAGATAGCTTTTGGGTACGGAAATGAAAATTAAGCCACCACATAATCAAAGCTTTTTTTCTATATTTATCCCCTACATTTTTTATATTTTGGAATTAGTCCTTCAAATTATTTAATTGCTATTGGGTTCCTTTTTTAAGCTATTTGAAATTGGTCCCTCAAATAATTGAAATTGTTAATATGGCCTTTGATACTTAAGTTATTTTGAAATTAGTTGTTTAAATAAAGAGTAGAATTGCAATTCCAATGATCAATTTGAAACAACTTACGACAATTGACGGGTCTAATAGGAATCTCGATACGCAACAACTCCATATGTAGTAGTCACCTGCAACGCACATGCTCCTCACTAGTTCTTAGGAAAATAATTAGAGCAATATTTAAAGGGCATTTAATTAGAGGTGGAAAAAGTACTGTAGCCACTGGTAATACTTTATGTTGAAGGACATTTTTTATTACCAGAACACAATCTGGTATCTGTCCAGAAAACATACCGCTGGACGAGTTGTAGGCACATTGCTCTAAGGTGCCAGCAGTTTAAACAATTGGGTGCGCCTTGCTATCAACAGGAAAACATTAAGAAACAACAATATAGCTATAATAATAATAGGGACATTTACGAAAATGGTTAGCTAGAAAATGGAATGAAAAGTTTAAAGATATCAAGATCGAAAATGTAATTTTTAGAGTATAGTGCGGTATTTAGTGCCTTCACTTATGTCGAGTAGAGAAAAAGAAGATGCATCTCCCATTGGTTGCCGATCTGAGTCATGGGCCCGCACGTTGAAGTTATCGTCCCATGCTCCATGAAGCGCAACTTACTCTCAACGGCCCATGTTTTCTACAGTACCTATCTACTAAAAAGTACATGGATTCTCGGAGGAAAAAAAATTTTAAAAAAATAAAAAATTCATCGCCCTCTATGCACCAATAAATAATGATGTACCAAAAAGATGTTTATTGTTAAATTATTAAACTTTACAGATGGGTGCCATGACACCAAGAAAGATTAGTAGTGATGATTAGACTACAAATTAAAAACTACTTTTAGTACTACAACAAACAAAAAACAGGATAAAGTAGGGTCCGAGATGACTCGTACAAATTTTGATGTACGGAAGGGCCCGGCAAATTTGTTTGTAATAGTATAAAAGTAGCATATAATGTATAACAAATTTCGTATTTTCTCAAATTAAAACACCTTCCGTGCATTATTTATGCATTGGATCCGGACAACTAGATGCTCATGCTCCCAACACCCCAGTTGATCTCTTGATCCCCTTATAGATATATAGACGTGCACAACATTTATATGGGCCCTATATGTCTCTTTCAAATGATCACCACAGTGCTAATGATAGAGACCATCCAGCCCTTCGTTTGTTAGCCCTTGAAGAAAACGTGACACTAGAAAACATGAGGTTCACATGCAATTTGAGAAATTAATATTATATGAACGTGCAGCATAGTTTTTTAGCACATGACTTCAGGTATACACCAAATCAAGCACCCAACAATAGCAAAAACACCATCACCAAACTCCCCCATCTCTTGGATTGGGAAAAGAGCACGTGCCTAAATTCCCTCAACCACGAGCTCAATGCAAATCAAAACGAGTGGCCAGCGACGAACGAATCAAATTCAATGCTGAGAATGGTGGACAAGATGGCGGGTAACGGTCGATGGATGATGGCGATGATGATGGATGGTCATATTATTTTACCTAACAGTTAGGCCATCATACACATAACTGGCAAGTCTTTTGGAAAGCTAGTGATTTGGTATGCTAAGTTTGTGCAAGGGTCAGGCATTCGTTGTTGTCTTTGTTCAATATTGATGGAGGGGGGAGACAGCAGGATGTGTGTGCACGTGCACGTGCATGCATGTGTGTTATTGAAGAAACTCTCCTTTCTTTTTCTTCGTACACGCTTTCTATGTAGAGATCACTCACACTTCTTGATTTAATTTATTTTTCTTTAAGGTTTCTGCTAGAGACGTTGATTTGTTTTCTTTTCTTTTTTTTTATGACACATCAAACTATTGCAAATAACAATTAGAACTTGTGGTAAAAAAGAGTAGTAAGTTGGTTAAGTAGATAACAACATGTCGTACTACCTTCCCACCAAATCTCAGTTCTAGTTTGCTCCGTTCTTCATACAGAAAAAGTTCAAGAAACATAAGGCACATAGCACCTTAGGATGCCAACATACTGATGTTTACTCAAACAAATATAGGGAAA